TTCGCTGTACGATGCACTCTGACGTACATTCCGGTATATTGTGAATAACCTCATACAGAAAGAGTTCGTTGACATGCTTCACTTTATTATGACCAAAGCAGTGTAAACATTAAGCCCAGCTGTTTACACCAGTGAAAAAGCAGATAGTCAACAACAAAACAAGTGAAATAAATTTCATGTAAAAACGCATTAGATACACTATGTTGAAAAATAATTTAGAAATCAGAGGATCATAGATAATTTGTTGACGAAACGGCTAGACAAATAGTGAAATACATATAATTGATGTGCGACGGCGACGATGACCAAGAAATGGCCTCTTTCTGCTATATCAGCACATCGCAACACAGATACATATAAACAATGCTTTTTGATAGTGTACTTACCTACAAGTTTGTCAAATGAACCTTTAGAACTAAACATTTTGAAGATAAAACTACAAAACGATCAAAATAAATGTCTAGCTTCCTTCCAATAAAATCCAAAATGGCGATGGTCGATAGTGCCACTTAACTTTGCAAGGAAATTCATAAAACGTAAATACGCTAGCTAATATAATCGTGTCACAACAGTGAGTATTAACACTATCGGCATCATAAGCATATATTGATACCCATATTATGCGATTCATCACTTTATATTTAGACCATCTGTTCTTTTCTTTCGGAATAGGATAATATTTCAGCAACACTTCTTTATGCTAGGTAGCCCGATGACGTCATATACTGAAAATAGAATGACTCATCGGGAGAGGGCGACTGACTCCTCGCCTCATATAGAGATTCTTAGTCCATAGTCCTTGACATGTATGTGGCAATAATAATAATTATCTTTATTGTGTTCGTATCCCTATTAGGATGTTGAATGAATTGCAATACAGATGTGAATAAAGACAAACAAACAATTAAAGTGAGAATAAAAATGCACGCAAGTATAAAATGCACGCAAATAAAAGTAGACAAAAATAATAATGGTAAAGTAAATTAGATTGTTCTCCATATTTGTGTTGGTGAATATTTGGTTTACTAATGCATGTACATGACCTTATCTTGAGATAGCTGACTAAGGTCATGTACATGCATTATGTATTTGTCCTTGTCTCAATTTTCTAGTACCGTGACAACAGGGACGTAAAACATGTAATCTGCAGTTATAGTGAGTTATGTGTACTTTTATTTGTGTGTGATTGACGTTAAATCTCTTGTACATATAAATATAAATGACACTCGAGCCAAAACGGACGATGAGGCCGGGGCTTCTGCGTTAGGTTCATCGTAATAGTTAAAACTCATATAAATATTATCTAGTAAAGAAACAGTGGCAGTGGCACGGGGGTGGGTGGGGGTTGGTGCCGTCGCCCCTCCAAAATCAAGCTAAAACTTTTTGTGTCAGCAAAATTTGTCCCTCAAAATGCAGGAAATAGCGTTTCAAAGGTTATAGATTTCAAATTTTTAAGGGGGAGAATGTCCCGGACCGTGACATATCAATTTCACAAACATTTTAAAATTGATTTTAATAATGCGGTATGTTTGCAGTGACTACATAGACTTATCTGCGACCTGTTTTGCTGAGATGTTAATTCTTTATACACAGACCAGGTGATAGTCAGTCAGAGCGAACAGCCAATCAGCGACCGCGTTGCAGCTGGTTATTTCTTACTTTAACGAGAAAAATGCCGGGCGATATTTTTTTAATTTAATATCATAATATCTGTATATTGTAAGACCGTTTATTTCCACTCACATTTAATTTCACTATTTTGATAGTTTTATCATATACACCAAGTTTAAATTCATAAATTCTATCGTTATTTTACATGTTCACGTTAATTTAATTTTAAAATTAGCGAAAATAGTGAACACGAACCTTTAGTTAGTGAAATTACGATGCATTTAAAGAACCGTGTGTATGGTATAAATACCTTTATAAAATACCTTGACACTAATTTGTAAATTTCACTATCAAACTGAAGACAAAAAACGCAGATAAAACTATTTTAAAGACATTGTTAATTATTGACACATTGTTCATGCTATGAGAAACCTAAATTGCTACTAGATAGAATCAGATTATATGGCATCCTATTATGGTAAAAACAACAAGGGTTTGAATATAACAAAACGAGTTTTAAAGTCACACAACGATCAGGTTTAAGATCAAGTGATACGAGTGCCACGCCCATGAGAACTCACATATTATTACGAATAAAAATGACGGTTGGATGAAAATCAAATGTGGTCAGATTTGTTCAGTCGTAGCAGTGTGTGGCACACAGTCACGAAATCACAGTCATAAAACTGAACCCATCTGAACGCTACTGAACGTACATAGCATGCATACTCAGATGGGATGTGTCAGACATGTGGAGTGTGCGGCGGTCATTGTGCATGCATAAGTTCAGTGCTGTGCATCCACACATGTCTTTATGCAGATACGGTTGCAACTATTAGTCGAGTAATACTACTTTTTGGCTCTTCTCTATTGTTCAAACAGTCCGCTAACACTACATCTTAATCAACTTATGAATATTCAGGATCTAACTCAGGCTCGGACCACGATATAAACGTCAATGGTCGGAGAACACCATGTGTACTAGTATTTAAAACTCATTCTCCGAGGTTTTTTTATTCTCACCCTGCTAAATCGTGAACACGATATTTTCCTAAATGTTAAATCTGTCCACGATCTATATGATAGTCACATGGACTCAATGTCCTTCTAGCGTGGGGCATTTCTAATTAACGCGTGTCAAGAGGGACGGCAAGGGGGATAGCTGGTACAGGTTACAGGAAATAAAAACGTCATTTTACGTTTTTACAGGAAAATGAAATAAATAAAATGAAAGTTCCATTTAGAGTATAAATAGGTTTTTACACTTTTCAGATAAAGTAAATTCCTAATTAAATTTTACATTTTAATAATATTTTCGGTAATTTGTGTAGTACGAGTTACATTTAATTTTGAAAATGCTATACACGCATACAAAAAATAATATCATTGTACAAAATACGGACGAATAAAATAGCTGATTACATTTTACACCATGCCCATGTCTACGAAATTACGTTTTTTATTTATTTAAATTACATTATTACGAAAATAAAAAAAAATGACTACAGCTTACGAACACGCCTCTGAAACACTGATACACACACTTACATACAAATCGGATGTGCATCAGCGTGATAAATACAGATTTTGAATACTAGTATTACTGTGTGGTTACTTTAATTGTATATACATTATATCTTTGTTACAACTGCGATAGAACAGCTACGATTTAGTAGCAACTAATTTGTTCTGGAGTAGACACTTAGCTCAAATTATGTTGTATAACGAATCATATTTCGAATATTTACATTATAATATATATTATGTAATTTGAATAAGGCACGGTTCAACTCTCAGTCAATTCTAGCGATGCAGATTGAAGGATTCGGCAGATTTACAACTGATTCAGTAATTGTGTTATTTTCTCACACAATTAGAATGTTTACTATCTGTGCGACAAGTTTGGTGATCTCCACTAACAATGCCAATTACCCGACACTTTTCAATTAGTACAGTAATCTTCTTCATTACTTGAATGAGTTCACTGGCACAATCACTTCTTTACATGTAAACGTCAAGATGCTAGACTCATCATGCTGGGGTGTTTTTCTGATGTAACCTACAGGGGTAGTGTTGTTGGGCTTGCGATGATTCTGGTTCTGAAAAAAACGAATATTATTGGGATAAATTAAACACGCGAGACTGTGGTTGGAATGTAGAGTGTAGTTCATAAACGTAGCATGACTTACGAATATCACACTACATTTTTGTTGGCACAGACAAATTAATATACAGCAAGTTGTACTACATTTGAATGCACGATCAGATTCCTTAGGACAATGTCACTATTTTCCTATCAATATAACAAGTACAAGTTAATGTGATAACCCAGTTTTTAAATGAGAATACTCGCGTCCCCTGAACAGGGTAAAATTTAAACAAAAATAATTGAGGCGACCTTGGTTGGCTGCCTGCCAGGACAAATTAGTATCTGTAGTCTGAGTTTGAAGCATACAACGTGAATAGCAATTTACTGGTAAGTGTTATAAAACTAGATGAGTGATCAGCAGTTGATAGATTAGATATTTAATGACAAAGTCAAATTGGTGCACCAATCATTGCAGTGAACCCAAATAACTACCTTTTTAGGACGTATATAAGGTTCTGGCGCCTGGTCGTCTTTCTTCGACTTTCTCCTTTTATGGACTCCAAAGTCTGGCACACTTTCGTTGCTGATATGTCTTACTTTATCATCACGATGCTGCAAAACCATTGAGAATGCTTAATTGGTGTATACGCGCCATAAAATCGCGTGAATATTATAGAAGGGTAACTGTGAAATTAACCAATATATGTCATGATAATTCAAAATAACAAACATGCTATTTTCAAATCGATTAATCAAATATAAGGGTGATGAACCAAAAGCATCAACTAAACATTGGATACATATACATGATATACACGATATATACATGCAATGTAGAACCATCAAAGGTCATAACCATTATCTTAAAGGAAACGTTCAGGTAAAACATAGTCTGATCCCAAGTGAATGAGCTCAACAAATGTATGAAAATATAATTTACAGTTTTTGATTCTCCAGCAAAGGATTGTTGAAGTGTTACATAATATCCACTATTATGACAAATTGAGAAAATGATTTCATTTTCAATTCAAGCTTTCTTATATTATGTGGCTTCGACATTGTACAATGGTCAGTGTATGCAATACAACACCATTCATTATATGGTGGATATTTGTCGTATGCTACATATAATAACTAATGAGACTAACATAATTATTTACTTACTTTGTCTGCAATCACTGGTATTGCATCCTTCATCACACTCGGTTCGTGAGAATGGTAGCCCCTTGGCCAAAGCTCTGAAGATGAATGACCGCTTTCTCTGTCTGCGTTTCTATGTAAGTTGAAACAATTTAAAAAAAATATCCTTAGTATTACAGCAAAAATAACAAATGTTTTGTTTGTGACACCCTACAAACAGATTGGAGCACTCGGTTCAAAAATAAAATGATATAAAGTGACCAATTAAGTTGATTCCATTTACTTCGATTTTTACTTTACATTTCATTAGTAATTAACAAACTCAGTCATATGCCATATGTGGCAATATATTAACTTGTATGTCTACTTATATTTAAATAGTACAGAGTACAGAGAATGTTTATTTGCCGGTGAATCATGGGAGAATGATATGCCAGGTGTTCCACAAGGACTAATTTTATACTTTATATGAATGATATACATTGTATCGGAATAACTCAACTACCCACACATGTCTTTGTAGGTTCATGATTCTGAATAACTTTAGCATGCCATTGATATGACAGACTGTGCTTCAAGCATCAATGTGGCATCACCTAAATTGTAAAGTTGACAGGTAAATGAAAGCCTATGTACAATT